CCACGGGGTGCCTGGCTGGCTCAGCCAGTAGAACGTGCAACTCTTGATCTCGGGGTTATGAGTTTGAGCCCCACGTTGGGTATAGAGATTACTTAAAAATAAAATCTTAAAAAAAAAAAGAGGACTCCCACAAACCCCCCAAACAGGCAAGGACAGGAGGGACAGTAGCACCCGATTCCGGCAAAGCTATAGGAAAACTAGGTATGGACACACTGTTGCAGATGTTCTAGAAAACAGTCTAATAAGATGTAACAGGAGCTATAAAGTCATCTCCACCTTGTGGCCTAGTAACCCCACTTCATAACCATTTTCAAAGGAAAAATATTTTTTTAAATGCTCATAAATGTTCTAGAATGATAGTGGTTGAACACCTTTGTGAATGTGTTAACAACTACTGAATAGTACACTTTAAAATGGTAAATTTTATGGTACGTGAATTATAACCTAATTTTTTAAAAGCTTGCAACGTACTATTTAAAATAGCAAAAAGTGAAAACAGCCAAAATGCCTAATAGGGCAATTCATTTTCCGTGATACAAACAAAACTGAACAGAAATGCAGAACTTAATACACTGTACAGACTGTCGAAACATGGAAGTTTAAATACATATTCACGTACATCTATGACAGAGAGACGATATTGGGTGAAGAACGGACGCAAAGGAGTGTTTCGGACCAACTAGGGGTCTATACATCCGCCAGCACGAGTCACAGAGAAGTCACGGGGATGGCGGCGAACACCGCCACTTCCCCTCCTTGCTGACTTGGAAGAACAGCATTTCCATTTGTAAAGTATTTCCATGTATGTGATTTCATTTAATCCTTAAAACAACCCCGAGAGAGAGAGAGAGAGAGAGAGAAAGAGGTAATGGGGGTCAGCACCATTATCCAGAGATGTGCTGAGGATGCACCCCTCACAACTGGGACCAGAAACCCCCTCCCCATTGCCTCCATGCCGTGGGAGATCCGGGTTTTCCCAGGAAAACATGGAGTTAAGAACAACAAAACTGAAAGCTCGCTGTGATCCCTCCCAATACCTTTGGGGATAACTAAAAATAAAAAGCAGGGAGGGCCGAGGAGAGAGCAGGTCTGCTGGCTGGCCGGAGGCTGGGCAGCTTGCCCTGAGCTCACCTTGCAGACAGCCCTGCAGGAGGGGACACACCAGGCAGGACAGCGGGACAGGTGGCGTGCACCTGGGAGGACCCAGGCTGCCTTGGTCCCTGTGTGAGAGGCACGACCCGGCCATTCCGACCCTCAGGGGTCAGCATGCACCATGCTCCTTCCCCAGTGTGGGAACAGGGACCCTCCCAGGCAGGGACAGCTACACCATCCTCGGGAAGTCTCCCTCTTTCTTCCTGCCAAAAGAAAAAAAAAAAAAGCCTTCCCCCCAGAGAGGAAAGTAGGGCAGCAAAGAGATGCAGAGATGCTCCAAGCACATCCTGGCAGGAAGCCAACCACCAAGGGTCTATACAGACCCCGCGGCCACAGGCGCAGTGGTCAGAGGCTGGGGTTTGGAGGGGCCACAGACCTTGGATCACATTCCCGCGCCCCCAGAAGAGAGGGCAGCCCAGCCGGATGGCTGCCCCTCAGGCCACTCGTGACACAGCCCTCCTTCCTGCGGGGCTTCCCAGCGGCCACAATGAGGGCCAGCAGGGGTCATCTCTACCCCGCGGCTGAGTGGCCCAGCCAAGGTCACTCCTCGTACAGCCCAGGGTGCTGCAGCTTCAGGAGACCCCGGCCCCCCAGGGTTTCTGTGGCTCTGAGAGCGGTGCCCCAGATGAGACTGAGGGGAACGGCGGGGGGGGGGCGCCCTGGGACCAGGGAAGGATGCTCTCCCCTCCCTGCTGTCTCTATCCTGCTGTGCGCGCCGGGACACTGCAGCAGACTCGCCCGGGCTCACGCAGCCACGGAGAGGGGACAGCCAGCCTCACCCACTCGGAAGTTTGGGGGGTGACCTTGCGGCTCAGAAGTCCCCTTCCCGGGGCCTGCAGCAGCTCGGGGCCAGGAGCGCTCCGTTCCCCAGGCCTGGCATGCCACCAGGAGCCGGGCCACTCCGGAGCCTCCCCACACAGGAGTCTGCAAGGGCTGCGCAGGCCCTGGCCGCGGTGGGGGATCCGGTGAGGGGATCGGCCCTTCTGAAGCTTCCCGTCAGACTGCTGGGCTCTAAATCCCGCCTCAGAAACATCCAGGCCACGTCCAGTCTCACTGCCGCAGCTGGCCCGCTAAGCACACGGAACCACCGCAAGGCGCCGTGACCCCCCGCGGGAGGGCAGGCCTTCCTCCCGCCCACTTCCCATCCCCAGTCCCAGGAGAAGGCACAGCCCAGGCCTGATGTGCCGGTCACAGGGCTCCTTGGCCATGCGGGGTAGGGCTGCAGGGCTCACATCTCCTGTCCTCTCTCTCCAGCCTGAACTAAAGTCTATAAGGGGCCCCCTGAGGGACGGGCTCCAAAGCATCACCCCGAGGGGACAGTGAGGATCAGTGTTTGGGCCTCCAGAGCTGCACCAGGCCACTTTCTCGGCATGCAGAGAATGCTCGTCCTTCTGGGTCCCCAAGGCCCAGGCGACAGGGAGAACTCACTGTTGCCAGAGGCCCCAGTTGCTATGGGGATGAGCACAGTAGCAGGAAGTCAGCCCCTGTTACCCTGGTCTGGGCCCGAGCATGCAACTGGCAGGCAAACAGGCCGGCCAAGGAGATCCAACCCCCAGGACAGCTGCAGTCCCACCGGCCATCTCCGACAAGGACAGGCAGCTGACCCAGCCGGCTGGCCACACCCTTACTGGTCCCAAGCCCCTCAGGGGCCAGTGGGTCCCCTGCTGCCTGCCTGCTCTGGGTTGAACTGAAAAAAGCCTTGTGCTCTGGGTCACGGCAGCAGTGAGACCTTCCCCTCAGAACCCACACCCTGCAGGCAGCTGGGCCTCTGCTTTGGTCCCACCCAGCAGCCCTGAAGGCAGAGCCACTGTGCCCTCCCTCCTTGACCTCAGCTGTCTCCTGCTATCCAAACCTGAGCTCCTCCCTGCCTCAGGCCAGGCCTTGGCAAATAGACCTGCCCAGGCCACTGCCTGCCTTTCTGTCGTGACTTCTCCTTTCCTTTCTTCAAAATCCAAAAGTACCTTTGCTGGGATAAGCAGGCCTGCAATTTGCCTGGCCCCTGGCTCCGTAGGGATCCCGGCAAACAACAACAAAAACAACAACAAAACAAAAAACCTGCAAATGATGTCAGAAACCAAAAGGGAAATGGGGTGGGAGGGTTGGAAGGAATAAAGGGCAAGAGTACAACTGGTAACTCCAGACATCACAGCTCTTCCCCAGCCCAGGGTGGGCACAGGAACTACTTGCCAGGAACGGGGGCGGCAGGGGAGGTCCCGGTGTCCCAGCCCTGCCGGTGGCTGAGCCAAGTCCAGGCAGAGACTGGTGCTGGCCTACAGAAGGGTGACAGCCGCACCTTCCCATCCCGACCCACGCTCTCAGCGCCAGATCTGAAGTTCACCTCTCTGCAGATGAAGCAAGAGCAAGGCCCGGCGCTCACCCCCACAAGGACACAGGCACGAGGAGGAAACCCTCCCCTGAGCCCCTGCCGAGGACAGGAGGGAAATATGGAAGCGTCGGGGCAGGTTCCCGAGACCCACGAAGGCTCAGTGCAGCGGGGAGAGGGCCTCTGTTCTGGTATGGGCTCCCGATTGGAGAAAGCGAGCTCCTCTCAAGGACAGCAATGCCCTCAGGTCTGGCTCACGGAGCCCGGCCCTAGGCCCCCACCCCCCACTGCCTGCCTGTCTCATTCATTTGGGAGTCTGTACCAAGATACCCTCTCCCAGTGAACCTCACACCCTCACACAGAGCCTCCAGCACTGGATACACACTTGAAGAGGAAGCGAGAGAAGCTGGAGAGAGTAACCAAAGGAAGGAGAAAGAAGAGGAAAAGGCAAATAGAAGGAGACAGACCTCCCGGACCCCCATCTGGGTCTGAAGGCCCAGGGGCACACTGAGGGGTGGGGACAGTGGCCTCGGGCACTCCAGCTCAGACTGCAGAGAGCAGCGAGCGGGACGGACTGGGGGCAGAGCCAGACCACACCCCGAGGACCTGGCCCCACCACCTCCTGCCCCGGGGCCTTGGGCACATCACCAAACCACATCCGTAGGTGGGAGCTGACAATAGGACCCACCTCATTTGGCCACTGGGGGGACTGACGTAAGAAGAATTAGCTTTTACTGTCTTGGGTAAGAACGGATGCCTTGACCATAACAACACGCTCCCAACAGGTGGGGAGCCCCAGGGAGCCTCAGGGGCTGCTGCTGGCATCGACAAGCCAACTCACCGATGAGCAAGTGATGGGTCTCTGAGGCCACCCGGCAGGGACAGGTCCCACACCCCCGGGTCACCACCGCTCATTCATTCGGTGTTTGTTCGGACGTCTGACGTGGTGCCGGGAGCCAGAGAGGAGGGGCCCGGCACCCAGGGTCTGGTGAGAGAGGCGCCCTGGGCCTGGAGGAGACCCAGGAAAGCCTGGAGGGCGGAGAAGGGAGGCACGTGGCGCTCTGAGGGCCCGAGGGGAGTGGACCTTGTCGAGTAGGCCCCTGAGCAAAGCTCCCCGAGAGAGCGGCAGCCAAGCTAGGAACCGACAAACAGGACGGATGGAGGTGAGGCGCGGGCGAGAAGCCTCGAGGCGGACGGTGGACAGGGTCTGAGGAGCCCTCATGCGGCTCGGAGGGTCTGCACCACGTCCACGTAAAACTCAGGTTAACTGCCAGGTCTGTGTTCCCTGCAGGCAGGGAGCACTACACGGGGCTTTGCCTGCAGACACGCCAGGGGTTAGCACGGCCCAGACCTGGGCACACACGGCAGGCCCTGGAGGGAGACCACACGCCAGCACAGACCTCCCTCTGAGAAGCACCAGCCAAGGCGCAGACGCTGGGCAGAGGTCCTCCAGCCCTGCCTGACCCAACACCTCACCAGGCACAGGGCAGGTGGAGGCCTCGGAGCGGGGGGACCACTCACGCACCCTCTGCATCCACGGTCTCCTTCATGATGATCTCCACCCTCTCCACGTGGTGCCGGTTCCAGAGGCCGTCCAAGGCCTTGCGGTTCTGGTCTCGGAAAGGCAGGATCTGAGCAACGGCCTGCCAGGGAAGGAGACCGATTATGCTGCCGGTTCTCAGGGTGAAGAAGGAATCCTGACCCTAAGGAAAGGCCCCAACTTCTCTAACCCTGCTCGGAGAAGATGCTTTCAGGCACCATCGTCCCTGGGCCTTAGGACTTCACAGCTCCATACAGACTCCAAAAACTGTTAAGTGACCTCCACAAGGGTTTCCAGCTTTTTATTTTGCAAGGAAAAAAAAATATTTAAGATTACTTACCTTCTATTACCATCAACTTTTCATGAAAGATATTTTAACACCAAAAATGGAGCAAGAAAAACTTCAGACTGGATACATTCAGGAAGTGTTCTCTTCTCATTTTCCCAGAAACAAGTGAACACCTCACCATGTCAGATGCAGGTCTGAGGCACACTCTGGGAACCTTGCAGCTCCAAACAGGGCTGGCTAGAAGGCGATGCCTCTGTCCTGGAAGACTATGAGGTGCCCACCCACAGGGTCCTGGGCTCACCAGCCTGGTCCACACCAGAGAAGACCGCGCAGTGTGCCCTCTGCTGCGGTTTCTAGGAAAAGATGTTCCCGAGGCACTCGGAGGGCATGCTCAGAGTGAAGTGGCCAGCCTGCCCGCATCACCCAGGAGCTCAGCGCCAGGCTCCACAGAACCTGGCTGGGAAGAATGGACTTAGGGTCCCTGCTCACCGTAGGATCTTGTTACCAGCCTTCTGGCTCAAAACAAAACTCAGGAAGACAGAGATACTGACAAAGGGCAGATGGGTGTGGAGTAAGTTAGTTCCCACACCACGACCCACTGGAAGCCAGGCCGAACCTGTGCAGAGGACTCAGGGCAATGAGAAACAAAGCTCTGGCCACGTGCACAAGGGCCACGCATCCTGCCCTTGCTGCTCGGCTTTTCCTTCAGCCTCTCACCACTTGCCCACCTTTAGGACAACCATGGGAGCTCCGATTTCACAATGGCTCGGGGCCTCATCCCACAAGCACCAGTGTGGCTCTGTCCACGGGGTCCGCCCACGCCCAGCTCACTCCATCCCTGGCAAGCTCCCCGCTGAAGCTCACCTGCTTGCCCAGGTAATGGTCCACCCGGTACATCTCCTCCTCTCGGAAAAAGCTCCCAAGTTCCGTGGCCAGCTGCTGGGCTGAGAGGCGGTCGTGGCCAAAGGGCTTCTCCAGGACAACCCGCAGCCAGGCACCCGGGCCCGGGCGGCAGCTGCTGTTGATGCTGCGAGCAATATCCGCATAGGCGAAGGGTGGCACCGAGAAGTAGAAAACCCTGCCAGCCTCCCGGAGGCCTTCGTGTTCGAGCTGTGCTTCAATGTCCTTGCTCAGGGCCATGTAGTCTTCACTCGTCCTCAGACGGTGGTACTGACTCAGCTGCTGGAACTGGCCCCTGAGTTGGGCACAGCGCCCGGGCGCCATGTCCTCGGGGCAGGAGAGGGACTCCAGGACCTTGGTGATGAACTCCTGGCCCTGCTTGGTGGACGTGAGGGCAGCCCCATGGAAGCTGAAACTGTAGCCCTTCCCCACCTCATCCAGGTACAGCTGGAACAGTCCCTGCCATAAGTATTTTTTGGCCAGGTCCCCAGTCGCTCCCAGCAGGATAACGGAGACATGTCCCTGGAGCTCCTGGGCCTGCAGGCAAGCCACGAAGGCCATGCACATTGCCACTGTGAGCATCTTCCACCAGCCAGGGTGCCTGGGCAGAGGTAAGACAGACAAGGAACAAGGAAGGATCAGACATGGTTCAGGTGGCTGGGATGTGGAGGTAAACACATCTCTAGGCTATCAAACATTTCCTGCCTGGCAAAAAAAACCACCACGTGTTTTCTCTCAGAAAAATGTTATAATCCCATAGCTTGCCCCTCCCTCTGCAGCAGCTTGGCTTCTGTGCCAGGAAGCTGGTGGGTAGGGAGCCTACCCTGTAAACAGGGACTATGGCCGGGAAGGTGGTAGGCCACTTGCTGGAGACGGGCCACTGTGCTGCAGGAAGCACCAGGGAGGCCCACAGGGCGGCCACGGGATTGGAGCTGTCCACTCTCTGACCCCAGCCAGTCTCATCCATGAGCGCAGGGTGCCAGGACCATCGGGGCAGCTCGGGAATAGGTAGCAGGCCCTCCGGTGATGGCTGGAACTACGAGAAGATATGCTCTGCCCCTCTCACTCCTCCCTTTGCTTTTCCCATGTCCACCGGGCTCCAAGCACAAAACAATGACTAGTAACTGCTACAGTGTAGTGATTAAAAACATACACGCTGGGGGCGCCTGGGTGGCTCAGTCAGTTAAGAGTCCGTCCGACTCTTGGTCTCAGCTCAGGTCTTGGTCTCAGGGACATGAGCTCAGGCCCCACACTGGGCTCCATGCTGGGTGTGAGGCCTACTTTAAATTAACTAATTAAAATAAAATAATAAAATAAAAACATAGTCTCTGGAACCGACTGAGGTTGAATCCCAGCTCAACTCCTTACTGTTGGACCTTGGACAGTTACTTAGCCTCTCCATACCTCAGTTTCCTCATCTGAAGTGGGGGTAACAGCGAGCTACGCCATATGGTTAGTGTAAGAACAAATGAGTTAGTATTTATAAATGCTCAGGACACCGCCTACCACCCAGGAAGCACTACAGAGGCATTGTGGTCTGCCAATGACAACAGCAACACCGAACTAAGTCCTTATGTGCAGAAGATCTAGTGCGTCCAGAGAAAAGCCCTGAAAAAACACCAGTGGAATGGATACTATGATCGTTTCCCTTCTGCAGGGAGCAAAGCTGAGGCTCGGGTGGTGAAGGGGCCCGGGAGAGGAAGCGGGGAGCGGGAAAGGCACCAGGCTCTCTGGCCCCCACGCTGCCACCCCGCAAGCGCATGCCGCAGCCTCCCCGAGGGGAGCCTCACATCTTGGCTGTTTTCCAGCCTCATTTAAAGCAGCTGACACATATGAAAGGGCAGAGGCCTCGGACCTGCCACAAATGCACCAGAGGCCTTGCTTTCACTTGCCTTCTGTTCTGACCAAGGCTGTGGGGCTTAATGTGCCCCATTCTTACTCTGCGGCTCTCCTGTTCCCATTTCCCAGCAAGGCCCGTGCTTTGAGGGAAAGGGAGAAGTGGTGATGGGGAAAGTAATCATGGTCAGCAACTCGGCTCTCGGAAATAGTGGGACAATGGAGCCCAGCCTGGGGCGCTGGAGCAGGGAAGGAGGACTCAAGATTACTGACAGCAGGCGTTTCCAGATGAAGGAGTAACGCGACCCTCAACGATAAGGCTCTAATCTGTTGTTCGGGTAGGGAAACTGAGGTTTAGAGAGATACCTGGCCAGCCTACCTTCCTGCATCCCTATACTGTCCTCCATCTTGAGGGACCGGAGCTGCCCTCTGACCGACAGCAGCACCCCGCACCCCACTTCTCCCTCTGCTTCTTCCTCATCTCTCTCAGTCAGCAGCCAAACCAAGGTGAGGGTCCAACAGCAGTATCTGCATACCAGACATTTCCACTACTGGGGCTTTAACCGGAGGATCCAGGGACCAGCTGCGTGGCCTCCCAGGCTTCCCCGTCCACTCCCTTCACCTGCACACTCACTCCCAAATCAGATGGGCCGCAGGACCACTCTACTTTCTTCTCCTGCTTCCCAATCCCCGACCTTGGCCCTTCATGCATTTCTTCCTGAACTGGCAATCGCCCCTGTCTGGAGGGAAGAAAAAGCTGCAAGGTCAGTGCGGGAAAGAGGCAGCGAGAAATCTGAAGCCCAGAGAACAGCCTGGAGAAGGAGGAGCCTCCAGCTGGCAAGCTGCATCTCAGAGCTCCTGATCCGGTACGGGCAGCCAGGGCCCTGGACGTGCCGGGCACAAGAGGAGGAGCTCAGGAACCTCAGAGCCCGGACAGGCAGGCGAGGGAGCCCCAAGGGCCAGGACCTTGACCCCCACCCCGGAATACTGCAGAACTGGCATGTCCCAAAGCCGGAGCCCCCAGTCACTGTGCTCAGCAGCTTCCTCAGTCAAGTGGGGGAACGTGGCACTTGGGGCAGAGGACCAGGCTCAAGACCTCCTGCCAGCTGTGGGATCTACTTAAGTCACCTACTCAGTTTGGGCCCACATTTCCTAACTATGAAGCAGGGCCAATACCACGGAACTAAACGGGGGTTGGAAGGATGAGCTGTGGGTGACACGGGTCACAACTCCCCACGCAGATGTTAACCACCTTCGCTAAACGGAAGGCCCCTCGTGGCTCCGAAGGGCACAAGGCCACTGCTGTCAGGAGAACCTGCGCACGCCCCTGCTCTCGGGGGCTGCAGGAGGCAGCGCAGAGGAGTAAACTGGCATTCACGTCCCACTCCCGGCCCAGGGCCGATGCCCTGCCCTGAGGGGGGGCAGACAGCGATGGGTACAGCTGTCCTCCCCGCTGCCCCGACAGGGACACAAACAGGCTCAGAGAAGCCGCCCACCCAAGTCAAGAACGGGGCCCCAAGGGCACCTGGCTGGCTCAGTCGGTTAAGGGGCTGCCTTCGGCTCAGGTCATGATCCCGGGGTCCTGGGATCGAGCCCCGCATCGGGCTCCTGCTCGGCGGGGAGCCTGCTTCTCCCTCTCCCACTCCCCCTGCTTGTGTTCCTGCTCTCGCTGTCTCTGTCAAATAAATAAAAATCTTCAAAAAAAAGAAAAAAGAACCGGGCCCCAGCCCGCGAGCGGGGGTGAGGCAACAGGGAAAACAGATGGCTCGCACGCATCCCCCGGGGGCCTTCTGCAGCACGGCCTCCCACCTCCGCACAGGCTCCCGGAGGACCGGCCCAAGGACGCCTCCTAAAGTTACACGCTGAAGTGAGCCCCGAGCACGGAGGTGGCCTTCCAACAGCTGGCACTGCCGTGAACGGCTTCTGTTTTTTTTTTTTTTTTTTTAAGATTTTATTTATTTATTTGAGAGAGAGAGAATGAGAGACAGAGAGCACGAGACGGAAGAGGGCAGAGGGGGAAGCAGACCCCCCGCTGAGCAGGGAGCCCAATGCGGGACTCGATCCCGGGACTCCAGGATCATGACCTGAGCTGAAGGCAGTCACTTAACCAACTGAGCCACCCAGGCGCCCACGGCTTCTGTTTTTAATGAGTAAGTAAATAAGAAAACCACTGGTGAAAAGTTTGAGGAGCTCTAGCCTAGGCCTTGGTTCCTCATCTGCGACAGAAGAGGCTTCGCCGGAGGACGGCCCCTTCGCTGCCCCCAGATCGTGTGCTCCCCATGGGAGGGGGACAAGCCCTCTATTATCAGGGAGATGCCAGCGCTCCGCCTTTGCAAGGGGCAGTTAGGGGCTCAGCACCTTAGACCCGGGCAGGCAGCAGGGCCAGGGAAAGAGGACTCAACAGGAAATGAGGGGCTGATAACTACGTGTCACTCAGAAGCTCAGACAAAACTCTCTGAAGCCCTAATTTAAGCGTGTGGAGGGTGCAATTTCATTTACAACAATTCTTTTTTTTTTTTTTAAAGATTTTATTTATTTATTCATGAGAGACAGAGAGAGAGAGGTAGAGGGAGAAGCAGGCTCCCAAGGAGCAGGGAGCCCGATGTGGGACTCGATCCCAGGACCCTGGGATCATGACCTGAGCCGAAGGCAGACGCTTAACCATCTGAGCCACCCAGGCGCCCCTACAACAATTCTTATTGAAGGTACTTGCCAGGAACACACTACACCCCGGAAGCGCAGGTGCCGTGGGGGTCGCCTCCGGGGAGGAGAAAAGACCTTCTTCGGACAGGCTCATCTTAGCGGCAGGCCTGACGGGGCACATGGCCACAGCCCTGGGCATCTTTCAGGCCCCCAACCCAGCCGGAGGGGTGCCCATCAGGCATCCTGGGGGACTCACCTTTTAAAGTACAGCTCTGCCAACATTCCCAAAGCTGGGAGCGCTGACCTGGCCAGCCGGAGGGTTTGGATCAGAATCAGGGTTCCAGTCTTTGTTTCCGGGGAGCACCCCTGCAGCCGGGCCTGACCCGTCCTAGCACGGACACAGCGTGTGCTGGGGCTCCGGGGGCAGGGCGGTGTCTGGTAAACCACAGGCAGAAACAGCTCTGGTCCTCTCTTCCCAGCACACAAGGGGCGGGAGAAAGGAGCGGGGAGCTAAAGGTCAGTGGCTGCTGCAGCCCTGTTCCCTTTCCCCACACCACACTGACACCTCTGACCTCTACCTTCTGTTTGCCAAGCAGGAAGGAGGGAAGTTTTCTTCAAATCACAGCCTGGGAGTTTGGAACTGTCGAAAGAATGTGTGGGAGTAAACGAGAGTTCAAACTGAAGATCATTTCTAACCAAAGCGGGAGGGGATGTGCCCAGTCCCGTCTATAATCACTCACTCAAGCGTTTTTCCTGCACTCCTCTCCTTGTTCGGGCCCATCGGCACCAAACACGGCCATGCAAGCCAAGCCCTTCAGCTGCTGTAAGACCTGTATCCCTCCCCTACTTGTTCCCCTTGGGGCTAGACTGGCGACAAGAGTTGCAAGATCAGGCTCTGGGGCCCTTTTCCCTCCCTGATCTCAGAGAATCCTTAGACCCGTCACCTCTTTAGGTGCCTCGGGTCCCTGTGACCCCGGGGGGTGCTGCAGCCGCCTTGTACCACACACAAGATTCAACTGCTGCATTTGCAGGAATTTTTCAAGCCAGCTATTAAACTCAGCCATTATTAAAAACCAAATCGCACAAGTTTATAACCAAATAAACTGTATTAAAAACAAAAGCAATAAATACTTATTATTGCTCATCATTTCCTAATTATTTGACTACATTTTACTCTCCACCTGTGCTCTTGACATTATTGACATCTATTGTAGCTGTAAGACGAAGATACTCTGTACTGGGGTGTTTGCCGTGGCCAGCGCAGGAATTTTGCACCACAGATACTGGCAAATGCTGTAAATCAGGCTTCCTCCCCGTCACCAATCCCCACCCTACGGAGTCGTTACACATTTACCAGCATACACCACCAGGTCTTCATCTCCATTCTGGGCTTTCTCCCCCTCAACTCCAGGCTCAGCCAATCAACTGCTACTCTGACACTGTTAGCTGGATGCCCACAAGACTCACTATGTTCAAAATGGAACGGACTTCTCCGCCAACCTGCTCCAGATGCAGATTTCCCCAGCCTGAGTAAATGGCAACTCTACCCTTCCAGGTGCTGAGGGCAGAAACTTGGGTGGGGGGGGGGAGTGTCATCCAATCTGTTAGCAAATCCTGTAATTTCTATCATCAAAAAAAACAACTAGTCACCACCTTCCACAACTGCACTCTGCTTCTAACCACCATCGCCTCTGTCTGGATTACTGTAGGAACCACCCAATTGGCCTCCCGTTTCTGCCCTTCCCTGAACAAGACGCTCAGTGGCCTCTTTATGGCCTCCTACCCATTACCTCCTTGATCTCTTCTGCCAGTTGCCCCTCTCTGGGCTCCAGCCTCCCATCCTCCTACCTCAGGGCCTTTGTACTTGCTGTTTGCTCTGCCTGGCCTACTTTTCCCTGCCGATGTCCACACGGTTCACTCCCTCCCTGACCTGAATTCTTTGGTGAAATGTCACCTTCTCCGTGAGGCTTCCTCAGCCGACTCCGCAAAACCGCAAACCTCCCACCTCCATCTCACTCCCTGCTTTCTCTCCGCAGTACGTATCGGTCTCTAATATACTGTCTGTGGAAAGTGTATTTGTTGGGTTTATTCTCTGCTGCCCCTCCCCTCAAGAATGTGAGTGCCAACCAGGGCAGGGGGTTTTGTGCTTCTCTTCAGTATCCAAAACAGGGCCCAGCACACAGAAGGTGCACTCTGCATCGGAATGGTGGCATGAAGGAAGACATGCCTCCTGCTGACCTCGAGTGCCGTGACATAGTACACAGCTTCCTGTCACACTATTAATAATAAAAGAGACATTTACAAGTATTTCACTATACACCAGATACGAGAGCTTCACATTTATCCCTGGAGTTAAATTCTTGCCAAAACCTATGAGACAGGCACCACTATGCCCATTTTTAGAATGAGTACAGAGGAAACCAAGGTGGCACAGAGGGGAAAATGACCGAAGGGCGGGCAGCTCAGAGGCGATCAGATGTGAATACGGGCAGTCTGGCTTCAGCACTGAGCTCCCACCTACCAGGAAAACGCGGACCACAGCCCCAGGCGGTGAAATTTAAAACACTGTATTGGTGTGGACACCGATTCTGCTCCTCTAAGAGACTGGAACAACGGTGGTGTATATAGTCTACTTCTCTCATGTGTTGCAACCACAGAGTAGGAAAACAAGTCGATAAGAAGAGCAAAATGAGGCAATCCATATAAAGCACGTGGCAGGATACCTGGCATACAGCAAAGCGCCCAAGAAATGTTAGCTTCTATCATTATTAAACCAACAGCAGCATGGGTAAAGGCACTTTTCTTGCTAGCTTCTTGGAACTGCTACAAGATTAATTAAGCAGCCCACAACAGAAAAAACGCCAAGGAACAGCTCATCAACAGCTTCATGACCTTCCAATCATACTGATGAAAAATCAAAGAAATATCATGCTAAAAAGGTTCAAAGTCCCCACTCCAGCTCTTGAGGGATTTATAATCTGGCCTAAAGAATAGGGGCATAAACCCCTTCACTCTGTAGCCATAGGCCTTTCACCTAACTACCCAGGGCCTCTTCTCCAGTTGTGAAATGGGGATCCATCCGCCTCATTTCAACACTGGGCCAAAAAAACCCAGATCATGGCCGTGAAAATACTTTAGCGGGCAATAGTGTTAAGAGCTCTCCCAGACAGACAGCCACCTGGCTCCCAACTCAAGGAAGCAAAAAGCAAAACCAGACTTCCTGCTCTGCCCCTGGGTTAGGGTCTGGTAGAATCCACGGGGAAATCTGGCATCAGTGACATCTTACCTTGTTCAAATTCCATGAATAAAGTGAGAAGTGGCTAGGCCACTGATGACCAAAGGTGCCTCTTGGCTTCCCTTTTAGATGACCTAAAACCATCTGACTGTAAGAGTAACTTAGTGAACTCCATATTTGGATAAAAATAACCTGAATGTTTGCCTAGAGTGGTTATTTGTGGGGCAGTCATGTACCTCAAAGAAAAGTTTCACAAAGTACTCTGAAAAATGAGCTCTGTTCATGCCAAACAGGGAGTATTTTTACCTCAGGTGGTCCTAAAACTTACCAAAAGATTAGCCTCATAAGCTCAAAAAGTCTAAGCACCATCCATCACTGCAGAGAATGTAGAAAATAATTTAAAATATGCCCACTCTACACCAGTCTCCCCTAATTTGTTCCCTTTCATGAGCCACAGGCCCCGTTGGGAGGACAGGGGGTTGGGTGGGCAAAGAATTTAGGTCTATGTTCTTTCCAGAAGTTCTCATTTCCGACTACACTCAAGTTTAAGTGAGCTGATTTTCAGGGATGCAGACAGATCCACTTCTGGAAAACTATTCGCTGGATGGGTGTCTTGCAACCGCTGACTGGAACCTGAGGGCTAATGCCAAAGATTAAGCTGATCCCAGGGGAAAAAAAGCACCGGGAGTTCCTCCTCTCACTGAACCAACTTCCAGAAAGCCTAGGAAAAGGAACGCCGCTGGCCCTTCTAAACTAGCCTCGAGGGGCCTGGCTGCCCCCTGCAGCCAAGGGATCTGCAGGGGAGGAAGTGAACGATATTTTGAGGGCGCGGGGCTGGGCGGGAACTCGGGCGGGCTCTGGCCCCCGCCGGAGTCCGAGCACAGACGCGAGATGATTCCCAGCAAAAGGCCCGAGGAGCTCACGCCGCGCGCGCCCAGCCTCCCGGTTCGCGGGGCCCAGCGATCTCGGGCTCGGCCCCGCGCGGGCGCGCAGCCGCCGGCCGGCTACCAACAACGCCCGCGGCCGAAGGAGCCGGAGACCAAGCAGGGGAGGCAGCTTACTTCATCTCGCCCGTCAGAGCCGGCCGCTTCTCCGGGAAATGTCGGCAGCGGCGCGGGGCGCGCGGCGCGACGGGCCGGGCTCGGGCCAGGCTGGGGCCCTGCGCATCCTC